AATTAAATAAAGATTAAACAAATGACATATTCTTGATTTTATGGCATTTCAGAAAATGTCCCAACTTTTCTAGAACTGGGGATGTAGAAAGATGGGATACATATGCTCCTCATTTTCAAAATAGTTACTATTTTAGTGCTGTACTGATTTATATATTTGTTATAGTCAATTAAATTTCAAAACTTGCCTTTTTTTGTCAGTGTGGTGTCCCAGCTATAATAATAATAATAATAATAAGAAATGTTTCTTAAGCAACAATCAGCATGATTTCTGAAAGAGCATGTGACACTGAAAGCTGGAGTAGTGAAGCTTAGCATGAGAGGAAAACACATTTTAAAATATATTCAAATAGAAAGCATTTTTTCAAATGGTAGATTTACTGTTTTTACTGTATTTTTTAAACAAACAAATGCAAACTCTTTTTTTATTAATCCATTAACAAATCTCACTGACCTGTTATGTCACCTTTAACCAAATGCCCCCCTTTCAAAAATATTGCTTCGAGCGCCCCCCCGGTGCTCTCCGAACGCCCCCGTTGAGAAACACTACTTTAAATGTTTACTAAAATGTTCCTTTGAATTATATTCTTGTTAAAAATGACAAGAAAACAAAGCGTGTTCTTTTTTTTTGTTTGTTTTTTTGAGCAATGTCAAAGATAAATGATCTTGTTTGATTTCTGTGCACATCTGCTCCATATTCAATCTGAAGTACAGGTTCTACATTTTAGATTCCTGAAATATCCCCAAAAAATAGGGTATTTAAGGCACAATTCTAGTCTTTTTGTTGGCGTTGAGGTAGTTTCCCTCATTGTGATCTCAGGTGTGCCGTGTCGGTGTTCATTTAGGCCTCGGTGCTTTCGTGCTTGGTTTGTGATGTGAACATATTTTGACGCTGGTATTGAGACCATATGGAAAGAGAGAGGTCGTCTCTCAGAATTCTAATGGGTCTGCTGGAAAGTCATGGCTACTCTGGTTTGGACTAAACATATAGTTTCGCGAGGATCGTTTAGAGTGAGACTTTAAACCAAAGTGCAGGACAAAACCCCAGACATTCTTTTCAAATTTCCTAGCAGCCAATAATGGAATCCGTCATTCACTGCATGCTTCTCAGGGTCATTATGGGATGCATTCACTTGCCTGTGTAATATATTTCATAAAATTAACGATAATTTATGGCATCATTGCTTCCAGTAAATGGATCACCTAATTTGGAATCTAGCATGAGCGAAAGTCTTAAAAAGGAGCTAAAATATGTTAAGAGTCTCCCCCATGTGTCCATTAGTAGAATAACAATACCAGCATCTGTTTCTTCTTTTCATAATTGCTTGGATTCAGAAGAAAGCTATTTTGAATGCAATTACTATAAATATACTCTAGCCTTGAGGTTAGTAAAAAAAAAATTTTTTTTGAAAGAAATTAATACATGTATTCAGAGAGGAAGCATTAAATTGATCGAAATTGACGAAAGACATTTATAATGTTACAGAAGATTTCTTTTTAAATAAATGCTGTTCTTTTTGAAGTTTTTATTCATCAAAGAATTCAATGGGGAAGACTGCTGACTTGGCAATGGTCCAGAAGACGATCATTGACACCCAAAGAGGGTAAGTCACAGAAGGTCATTACCGAAAGGAGAGGCTGTTCACAGGCAAGGCAAGGCATTTTTATGTCTAAAGCACATTTAAAACAGCAGCAGCTGACCAAAGTGCTTTACAATCTAAAAACGTAAAACGATCAAATACACACTAAAAAAAAATACAATACAATAAAACAGATGAACTAGAAAGAGAACACCCTGATTAATAACATTACATTGATCCAAAAGCCAGAGAGAATATATGTTTTCGGCGAAGATTTAAAACACTCAACATCGGATGAAAGCCTAATGTGTACCGGCAGATCGTTCTACAGTTGTGGAGCAGCAACAGAGAAAGCACAATCTCCTTTTAACTTTAAACGTACCCGTGGGGCAGTCAGCAACAAACTGTTTGAGGACGTTAAGGGCCTAGAACATTTCCGGTGGACAAGAAGATCAGAGATATATTGTGGAGCCTGGCCATTTAGCCCCTTATACACATACAATAAAACCTTAAATTTAACACGGTATTCAACTGGCAGCCAATGAAGAGAGGCCAGAACAGACGAGATGTGTTCCCTCTTTCTAGCTCCAGTAAGAAGCCTGGTGGCAGCATTTTGTACCAGTTGAAGTCGAGATAGAAAGGACTTAGCCACACCAAGATACAGTGAGTTACAGTAGTCCAGCCTGGAGGAAATAAAAGCATGTATCACAGTCTCCAAGTCCCTTGGTGATAAAAACGCTTTCAGTTTCGCAGTGGATCTGAGATGATAAAAGCTGTTCTTTACTACTGAGTTAATTTGTTAGTCAAATTTAAGACCATTATCAAAGATCACACCCACATTTTTTGAATGAGTATGAGAATTCACAGATAAAGGACCCAAATTGTCATTTATCTTTATAATAGATGCTGGAGGTCCGAAAACTACAATTTCAGTTTTAGAATCATTTAATGTTAGAAAGTTGGCTGCCAACCAGCATCTTACCTCTGCTAGACAATTTAATAGAGAATGTATATCATAATTATCCCCATGATTCAAAGGGAGGTACACCTGTGTGTCATCGGCATAAAAATGGTAATGAATGTTATACTTTTGAAAAATCCTGCCTAAAAGGAGCAAATAAAGTGAAAACAAAAGCGGGCCCAAAATTGATCCCTGAGGCACACCGCAAGTTAATGGTACAGAAGTGGAAGAAAAATTCCCAACCTCCACCGAAAATGTTCTATCACAAGGATTTAAACAATTTCAATGCAGTACCTTGAATTCCTACACAACCGCTCAACCTTTCAAGTAAAATGGCATGGTCAATTGTGTCAAAAGCAGCACTGAGGTCCAAGAGTACTAGAACTGCAGAATTTCCTGAGTCCACAGCTAACAAAAGATCATTCAGCACCTTCAGCAAAGCTGACTCTGTACTATGATGTTGTCTAAAACCTGACTGAAACTTGTCTAACAAATTATTCTCACTTAAAAATACAGTCAATTGATGGAAGACAGCCTTTTCCATCACTTTCGATAAAAATGTAATTTTGAGATGGGCCGGTAATAATCTAAAACATAAGGATCTGAACAGACCTTTTTTCTAAGTGGATTCACTACTGCATGTTTCAGAAATGGTGGAACAGTGCCTTGAGATAGGATACTATTTATTATTGTTATAAAAAAAGGTTAAATGACACCCAGAACTTCCATAAAAAGACGCAGAGGAACTACATCCAAGGAGCATGAGGAAAGCTTCATTTTATGGAAAACATCCACAAGAAAGGAAGAAGAAATAGGCTCAAATTCAGTTAAGCAGGCTGAGCATGGGTCAACAACAGGTGGATTGACATAAACTATGGTAATATGAGATATGAGCTAATTTTGTTAACAAAGAACTTCAAAAAATTATCACAGATTGTAGGTGAACTCAGGATATAAATGCATGGTAGGGTTTAAAACATTATGTATTGTATTGAAAATAGTCTTTGGACTATGTGCATGCTTTGCTATCAAGTTAGAAAAATAGGTTTCCCTCACAGCCTTAACTGAGTGCTGGTAGCTCATCATACAATCTCTCATGATTTCATAGGAAACTTGGAGCATATCCTTCTTTCACTTTCTTTCAGCTTTCCTCCATTCCTGTCTAGCGGCGCGAGTATCTTTGTTAAGCCAAGGTTGCAACTGTAATTTAGGTTTCTTCATTTTAAATGTCCAAAACATTGCCACACAGAGTATTAAAACAAGAAAGTTGCTCTTCAACAGACAGCTCTGCAAAAGAAGACACAAAAGGGCAAGCATCCCTAATAAAAGCATCTTCAAACTGTTTATATGTAGCAGAATTTACAGACCGTATTCGACGACTGCAGGACTTGACATGCACCTTTGAAGTATTAAGCACAGTGTTAATACTGGCTTATGATCTGATAAGCAAAAATCATCAATCTCTGTATTACTAACAGAAAGGCCTAGGGAAATAACCAAAGTTCACAGAGTGCTGTATCAAAGCATATTAAATGCAAAGTTGACTGGAAGGAAGAAATTTGGTAGGAAAAGGTGCACAAGCAACAGGGATGACCGCAAGCTTGAGAATACTGTCAAGCAAATCCGATTCAAACACTTGGGAGAGCTTCACAAGGAGTGGACTGAAGCTGGAGTCACCACGCTCAGACGTCTTCAGGAAAAGGGCTACCAAGCTACTTCTGAAACAGAAACAACGTCAGAAGCATCTTACCTGGGCTAAGGAGAAAAAGAACTGGACTGTTGCTCAGTGGTCCAAAGTCCTCTTTCAGATAAAAGTAAATTTGGCATTTCATTTGCAAATCAAGGTCTGGAGTCTGGAGGAAGACTGGAGAGGCACATAATCCAAGCTGCTTGAAGTCCAGTGTGAAGTTTCCGAAGTCAGTGATGATTTGGGGTGCCATGACGTCTGCTGGTGTTGGTCCATTGTGTTTTATCAAGTTCAAAGTCAATGCAGCCGTCTACCACGAGATTTTGGAGCACTTTATGCTTCCATCTGCTGACAAGCTTTATGAAGATGCTGATTTCTTTTCCAGCAGGACTTCAGCACTTACATGTAATGAATCTAGAATATATGAAGGTTTCACTTTTTGAAATGTTGCAAAAAAGATTTTTTGAGATGCACCTGTATATATATAAAATCTTTTAATACAATTTAATTTATTCCTGTGAATTAGTTATAATACTGTATATATATTTATTAAAATACATTTTTTACATAAAATTAGTAAAAATTTAATTTATTCCTGTGAATTTATATATATATATATATATATATATATAGAATGAATTTGACTATATAAATATATACATGTACATATATGTACTTTCATATTTGAAGCCGGACCATATTTATTAAGAAAATAAGCTTTTATTTTTCAAAATAATCTTAAATGACAATTTCAGCATTTACAAACTGTCCAGGAACAACTACAAGATCAAAATCAAGTGTTCAGTCCTTTGGCAGTGGAATCCCCACCGCTGATTGGCTTTGTCCCTGCATTTCCTCTTGAGCTCTGTCCACTTGTTGCTGTGTGCAGTAGTCCTGCAGGAAGACCGACGCCAGGTTCCTGAGGCGCGGGTTCTGTGTGAGGGAGAAGCGCAGCATGCACTGCACCACAGCACCGTCTGTGGTCTCAGCGCGCGAGGCTGCTGTGGTCAGGTTCATTAATGTAGTGATGGCAGAGAGAACCGTCTCATCTCTGTTACTCGACAGGCAGGATATCACTAATGGGACTCCGCCACTTTGCAGGATCTGATCACGGGACTCCCGCTCCATGCTGAGGTTACACAAACCACCTGTAGGATTTCAAACAGTTTGTTGGTTCATGTGAATAGATTATAACAGCAGTTATAACAGCTATACTAACCAATTCCAAACTCCACAAAATTCTCATTCTCTTCTGTCAGCACGTCCAGGAAGAGCTCAGTGATCTGGAGCAATCGCAGTGCTTCCATGTTGGATGGATCATAGGCAAAGTTGGCCAGGTTTGCCAGCACTTGCTCTTTAGCCTCTGCCAAGAAGTGAAAAGACAAATAATGAGACAGTTTTCAGACAACCTAATACCTTTATTATAAAGACGGCTGTAAACAGTTACTGTATGTACTGATTACAGTCTGTCAAGTATAGGAATATAGCATGTGCAAACTGCTTCAAGCACAAATATATAAAGATGTAGTGCATCTGCAAACAGTGACATACCCTCACTGTCAGTGTCCTGAAACTCTGTGACCAGACCCTGCAAGTACTCTTATTAAGGTTTCACTTTTTGAAATGTTGCAAAAAAGATTTTTTGAGATGCACCTGTATATATATAAAATCTTTTAATACAATTTAATTTATTCCTGTGAATTAGTTATAATACTGTATATATATTTATTAAAATACATTTTTTACATAAAATTAGTAAAAATTTAATTTATTCCTGTGAATTTATATATATATATATATATATATATATAGAATGAATTTGACTATATAAATATATACATGTACATATATGTACTTTCATATTTGAAGCCGGACCATATTTATTAAGAAAATAAGCTTTTATTTTTCAAAATAATCTTAAATGACAATTTCAGCATTTACAAACTGTCCAGGAACAACTACAAGATCAAAATCAAGTGTTCAGTCCTTTGGCAGTGGAATCCCCACCGCTGATTGGCTTTGTCCCTGCATTTCCTCTTGAGCTCTGTCCACTTGTTGCTGTGTGCAGTAGTCCTGCAGGAAGACCGACGCCAGGTTCCTGAGGCGCGGGTTCTGTGTGAGGGAGAAGCGCAGCATGCACTGCACCACAGCACCGTCTGTGGTCTCAGCGCGCGAGGCTGCTGTGGTCAGGTTCATTAATGTAGTGATGGCAGAGAGAACCGTCTCATCTCTGTTACTCGACAGGCAGGATATCACTAATGGGACTCCGCCACTTTGCAGGATCTGATCACGGGACTCCCGCTCCATGCTGAGGTTACACAAACCACCTGTAGGATTTCAAACAGTTTGTTGGTTCATGTGAATAGATTATAACAGCAGTTATAACAGCTATACTAACCAATTCCAAACTCCACAAAATTCTCATTCTCTTCTGTCAGCACGTCCAGGAAGAGCTCAGTGATCTGGAGCAATCGCAGTGCTTCCATGTTGGATGGATCATAGGCAAAGTTGGCCAGGTTTGCCAGCACTTGCTCTTTAGCCTCTGCCAAGAAGTGAAAAGACAAATAATGAGACAGTTTTCAGACAACCTAATACCTTTATTATAAAGACGGCTGTAAACAGTTACTGTATGTACTGATTACAGTCTGTCAAGTATAGGAATATAGCATGTGCAAACTGCTTCAAGCACAAATATATAAAGATGTAGTGCATCTGCAAACAGTGACATACCCTCACTGTCAGTGTCCTGAAACTCTGTGACCAGACCCTGCAAGTACTCTAACCGGTCAGACGCTGAGAAACGACTCTTTCCTGCCATCACAGATGAATCATGGGTAACATGGGTTTAACACCTGCAGACAGACAGACAGACCGTCAGTTTGAAATGCTGACAGACAGACAGACAGTCAGACAGACCAACATATAGAAAAAGCAGTTTTATCACACCGTATAGATAGGTAGCTAGATAGATAGATACTGTATTACAAAAATACCATATTACAATACTATATTACAAGAAAATTCGTAATAATTATGTTTTATTACACCATATAAAACAAAAAGTTTGTGATACTAATCTAATCTGTTTCACAATACTGATAGATGACAACAATGGACCATCAGTTTGTAATACTGATAGACAGACAAACAGACCAACATATAGAAAAAGCAGTTTTATCACGCCGTATAGATAGATAGATAGATAGATACTGTGCTACAAAAATACCTTATTACAATACTATATTACAAGAAAATTCGTTGTTTTATTACACCGTATAAAACAAAAAGTTTGTGACACTGATCTAATCAGTTTCACAATACTAATAGATGACAATAATAACAGCAATAAAGACAAGAAATGAGGCAAAAGTGACTCACTTGTGCAGAATAACGCTGATGAAACTCATTCGTGCTTCTGCTATGAACTTGAAACGTTCAGTTTCATATCTACAGAAACTGTCTGTCTACGGAGTGTAAATACAGATACATTTAACCCAGAATGTCATGATTTGATCAATGAGTGTGTAGAGTTTCGCATCACTGAAGTTGCTCTGCACGGCTGGTCCGTCAGTAAATACTTCCCCTTCATTTGTAGTTCCTTTGATTTTCAGTTCTTCTCTTATAAATGTGCATATAAGTAAAATTTAATAACATAACATTTTAAAATATATTCAGAACATCCCTCCTGCTTCGTAAGACAATATCACAAATAAATGGAGTAATTTATTTTATAACGCACGAGCCGGAAGTAATGTTTGGGGTTAATCATATGTGCAGTAGTATATATTCATCCGTGTGGAGGTCAGAACTACTGTTTCACTGAGACTTTTGCTGTTTTGCCTGCTTACACGTAGACTATATATTTCAGCATGAAACCGTCCAAACTGTCCACTGGAAAGCGCCTTACAAAACCCATTCTTTTTGGGACACTGCTCGTAGGTTTGGCCGCAGCATTTCTGAATAGGTGAGATAACACACCCCCTTGGCACTGACACAACGTGTTTAGACTATAAAACTATACAGATGGAGTGTTGTACACGCAATATTGTGCAGTTTGGCCGTGTGAAAACGAGTCCTTACAAAACATATGCGGATATGAGTCTGAAATAATGGACTAGACAGTGTATGCCAAGTGGTCTGAGCCGAATTGCAGAAAATTAAATGCTACCAAATTGCAATTATTCTGAATTAGTTGCTGAATAAATGCATACACTACTTTTTGAATGATTGTCATTATAGTGCTGCCTACAAGCATTCTTTGCTGTGAGGTCTGATCATTCATATCATTATTCTGCCTTATGCATGAAGGCATTTGTTCATGGAGGACCTGACAGATCTCAGGGAGCAGGAACGATCCCGCAATGAGGCCAAACGGCTGGAGGTGCTGGAAAGAAGGAGAAAACAAATGGATGAACTTGTAGAGAAGAAGAGTGCAGGGGACAGGTGAGATGACTGAATGGAAACCCACAGGAAACCAACACTGAAGAAAACATGGGACATTTTTTGCCAATAAGGATTTGTGGAGTGTTATAAAACTTTTTCCTTGATAGTTCTGATATTGCTGTAATGGGACAGAATGGAAAGTCCATGAGTGATGTAGTAAGCAATGATTTGAATTGATTGCTTTGATCATATTTAGCTGTAACAGCTGGATTTGCAAGAGGATTAGAATGGTAAATATTAATGGGCCAAACAAATATGTATGTGCCTCATTCCTGCCACTGACAAAAAGCTACTTGGATTTTTAAAAATTAACATACATATATAAAATACATATTTTATGTATAATCCAAACAATCTATAAATATTACAAATGATCTTCACCAGTTAAAAGACAAAAAAAAATCTGCTGAGTTTAAAAAATATTTTATGTACTATTAAAACAATTTATTAATACATTTATGAAATTATGAATAAACAATTGTTACACTGTGCAGTTGGCAATACAGCCTTATTCTAAATTCCTTACACTACAGTTGGCATCAGTGTTGTTATTGTTAATTAAACCTGCTAAAAATAGTTGTTGTTAATTTTAATAAAGCTGAAATAAAAATAATATATAAACTTAAATGAAAATTAGAAATGTTGAAATTTTAAGTACTAAAATTACTAAAACTAAAACTAAATTGCTTTTAAATAAATTAAAGCCAAATAGAAGTATTAAAAAAAAAAGAAGCTAATAAAATCAAGACTAATAAAAAGCGCATAAAAATACTACAACTTAAAAACTACTAAAATTACAGGGCTCCAGACTCATTCTTCCCACTGGTCGCTCTTTTGCGACTGACTTTCTCAGTTGGTCGCAATATTTTATTTTTGCTCTACAACATGGGATTAATTAATGCATGCTGATGAACTTTTATTATCATAGTTTATAGTTATATGGAAACAAAAGTGGTTAACATTCAACCCGTTCTTTTTCATCAGTATTATTTGTGATTTGAATTTTGTGAACAGTTCCTCCTTTGCTGTGTTATAAGTCGCGGGCTTCGGATGCTTTCACTTTTGAATTTGCGATCTTGTTTATCGCGTATAAAAATAATTGTCAGTGTTGCTTACATCTACACATTTCACTTTTTAAGACTAAAACAAAAGATGGATTTATTGTTATTCTTAATTAAAAAGCACAACAACAGTTATACAGTAAGATACAATGACAAACAAGCTTACAAAACGTTTATTAACAAAAACGAATAAGATGAGGCATGGCAAACACCACATGCTGTATTATATACCGACTAATAAATTACAGAACCTTTAGCAAACACTGAGAAATCAAATAAAAAAATAAAAGAGCCTCCATAGTGTAACGTGAGGTAAACAGCAAAGATAACTGCTTTCGAGCTTTTCAAAATGAAAACAAAAAGAAAAGTAAAGCTAAACTTGCTCTCGGTGACAGTGCTTGCATGTTTTTCCCCACAAGAATACCAACATGTTCACCTTCTCTGGTTTAAGAAGCGGTCTTTTACTTTACTTTAGCTTGAAAACCATCCATCGTTTCCTCAATATTCGCGTCATTTTTGCTGACGCGCCGAGTATAAACTATGCTCTACTCTCTAAAGCTGCGCTGCGCAGTTCAAACGATTAGCGCGGTTTCGTTATGCTTTCAGCTTCGTTTGCCGTTTCTCATAAGCGACAGAAATAGCAGCGCTTATGAGTTGAAGAACGCGGTGATCGCGCCAGTGCGACCGCACACAAAATTTAGTCGCACAGGCAGAAAAAAATGACCATTTGGTCGCAGTCTGGAGCCCCGAATTACTAAACTTACTAATTACTAAAATTAAAAAGAAAACTGAATCTATAAAAATATTTTGAAATATTAATAAATACTAAAATTACACTGGCTGGCAGTGTCATAAAAGCCTTTTTCTGAAGTCCTTCTAATTGTAAGATTTGTCAGTGGTAACGACATAGAGTTAACATTTTTGTGTTTGATACAATAAAACAGACTCGTGAGAACACTACCATTTATTTGAGCACGCGAAAGTAACAAAAAGTGCTTTTGGAACACATTGCACTAACCAAAATGAATAAGATTTGTAATTCACAGCAAGGAGAAAAATAAGGTATGGATATTCCAACAAATACTATGAGGCTGTGAAACCAACCTGAGACTCAGAAGCAAATGCGTCACACCGTATTACTACAACAGTCGATTGTCAATATAACGAACCAGTGTTTAAAATGCAAACCTGCTGGAGCCAAAACAAACCTTTTGTGTGCAACTCCAAAGACGTTTCACACTTACACCAGGCCACATTTCAGGGGACAAAAATAGGGGAAGTTTACCCATCTGAGGCACACATTAGCACTTACTATAGATCCTACCAAGATATAATAAGACCTTGTGAACCAATACAAAAAATTAGGGATAAAAATGGAAACCAGCACATGTAAGTCTAGATAGTCAAATCTCCACCCTTCATCTTCTTTTCTCCTTCAATATACAGTAGATCATATATCTATCAGGTCTACCTTCTTATACACAAACACTGCATGTGTTGCACAACATACTGTATATTAATAACGTAAATTCCCTTTGTTTTCAGCTTTCACATACATTGCCATCCAACACTATAGTGATAAATATATTTTTGGACTGTGGTAAAAGACATCACATTTGCAAAGAACAGAGAAAACTAAATTAAATATGTACATATATGCTTATACCTAAATTAGCAGTAACCATAAATATATTAGATAAGGTTTATACATTTTTAAGAACTATTAACAAGTACTTCAGCAGTAAAATGTAGGATATTGCAACGTAGAGACTAGTATGAGATGCTGCTACAGTTGGGCTACCATTACTAACCACATTGTAACCCACTATAATCTCAGTAGTGAATTGTTATATTGCCGTATAGTGGTTGTAATGGAGTTTGTGTGTGTTTGAGGGTCACACGCTGAGCACCAGGCTGGATGGAGAGTTGGAGCGCGGCGGAGCTGTGATGTTCGTCACGGCGCCGGGGTCCAAACCATTCACTGTCCTGCTGTGCTCAGAGAAACATGAGACTGTGGTTAAACCCTGTACAATGCAAGCCATCAGACCATTCATACTACTGTTAGAATTGTCACTAGCATTTATTTCAGTCCACACCAACTGGATAAACTAGATGGGATTTGGCACAAAATAGCTCGATGAGACAGAAACAGGCTTTTCCCGAAACCAAATACACAGTTAATATGCGTAGAAAAGCTCACACGCGAGTAGCTCAGAGTGAATTGGTGTAGATAAGCAAGCAGAACAAACTCAGAAGCTCTGAAACTGTAGATTTTCTCAGCCCAGACCACTCAATACAGCCCCCGGAGACACACCAGACACAAACACTCTACTGTCCATCAGTACAAAGGTATTTCGATGACGTCCATCAGCTACGCTTCGCTGTGTCTGTTCTTGTTACCTTGAAACACACAAATATAATATGTGTACTGCACCATCACAAAATCAAATCACTAAAGTGTACTGGAGACTGCAAAGGCCCTTCTTTGATAGCTCATCTATAGATCTGATAGGTCTTATACAGCAGAAACCCAAGCCCTGGGCGTCCTCTCCGTGCCCTTTACCATCTACTGATACTCAAGCTACAGGACACACTGATTCAGCACTGCAGTGAGCTGCGTAACACTGCGGATCCTCAAGAAATCCTGCCCTCCTCACATATTCACTCTTTATTTGTCTTCTCAAATGGATTAAATGGCAATAAAGCTTCTTATTTTTAAGAACATGCTTAAAGTCAACATGAAATTAAAATGTATTCTGTTTATTTTCATAATACGGGTTCCTGGTGTTATTATGCATAACTCATTTGATTCATATTTAAAAAAAAAAAACAATCATAATCTTTCATTATTTTTTACAACTTTCCTTTTTAGTTGATTTCACATTTTTTGACCCCTCTAACAATTATCAGGTTTAGCTACTGCAGCTCTTCTGGTCTGTTCTGATATACTACCATAAAAAATTTTTTTTTTTTTTTCAAGAAAATAAAACTTTTATTTAGCAAGGATCCATTAAATTGAGCAAAAGTTATAATGATTTAATAATAATGTCACAAAAG